AGGGCGTCATTGGGTTGCGTGATCGCAAATGGGTCAGCCGGAATACCGTTGCTGCGCCTACGACGATCGCTGCTGTTCACGAGCTGGTAAGATAGACTAGCATCACTGAAAACATTTGTACTGAGCTCGTGTTACAGACCGCTAAGGAGAAAGCAGCTGCAGAGAAGGAGTCCTTCAACCGTCAGATAAGCATGTCTCGCGGTGGATCTCGACGCGGCGACAACCGGAACCAAGAACACGGTCCTGACGGCTGGGCTGTTGCCGGTGGCAGCTCTATTTCACGGGCGCCTCCCAAGGCTGGTGATCTGTCACAGTTCGGAAAAATCAGCAAGGGGCCAGCCATGGCAATGGTAATGGGTCCAAGCGGCGTCTTCGCAGCCGGCAAGAAGGACAGCAAACGGGAGACACTTTCGCGGACGAATTCGAGCTCGAACATGTTCCATATGCTCAATCAGAACCCTGAACTCGCCGCTGAGGCGTCCATGAAGCCCAGTCGTTCGTCGAGACTTAAGCTGGGCGTGGATCTCGGTCATGCTGGTGTTCCTGAGCCCGCTGTACAGCGCAGGAAGCTCCAGCTCCTTCCACGGTCTGTTCTTGCTGCTCAAGAAAACGCCACGACTCCTTCGGAAGAAGAACCTGAAAGTGCACCTACAGCCATGTCAGAAGCAGACGTGAAGAAGAAGATTGATGAAGATGCGAAAGAGTTCTTTGCTGTTCGCAATCTTCAAGAGGCGGAGGTCTACTTTACCAATCTTCCTAACGAGCACCGTTTCCGGCTCGTGGACAAGCTGGTTGCGTCCGCGCTCGAGAGCAAGGAGGCGGATGCGAAGTTGGTCGGTGATTTCTTCGCGCAGGCTACGAGTTGTGGACAGTGTACACTTGAGGTCATTGAGGAGGGGTTCATGCCCATGGCGGAGTTTTTGGACGATACTGTTATCGATGCTCCCAAGGCGTTTGATTATATGGCTATCATGCTCAGGGGTGCTGGGTTCCAGAATGAGCCTGAAAGACTGCACCGGATCGCTTGGAAGCTCGAGGACAGCTACAAGCTAGCCTCTCTTGTGGTTTGATCTGCCCCACTCGCATCTAACGTTTTCGATACATTTTTCTTACATCCTCATTGCATTTCTGTTTTCGTTCGCTTTTTGGTTGTATTCTGTGCTTTCTTGGTGTTCTGCAGACTGAAATATGTACATTACAACACGTTCCTCTTTGTGATCGATGTCGCATACACAGGGAAGGCTTTAGCTAGCCATGCATATAAGCTACATTTTAGGGTGGGTACAGGGTACACGATAATAATACTGTACGCTTCCGTAGATACCATGGCTGAATTCATAGCCCTGAGGGTCGAGATGCACGAGGAGCGCAGACAATGCTTCAATCTTCCGCATTGCGTCATATTTGGGAGAGAGAGAAATGGAGGGGTCGAGAGGCGGCCCAGGGAAGGGTGCAGGCATCGTGGCATACCAATTTCTGCCCTAGGACCTAGTACGTGCACCACCGTAGCAACTTCGGGAGATAGTGCTAGTATGACATGCGTGAAGCAGTAGTTGGATGGTCTGAATTGAGAAAGCGAGAGATTTGGCCCGTGTTGCGCTGGTGTGCTGGATATATGGGCTTCATTACATTCTAGAGGCACTGTAGTAGCACTCCAGGAGGAGCTAACTAAAGAAAGCTGGACACCTGTTCTCGCAGCTGACTTATTTAGCTTATCAGTCCTGTGAGCCTTGGCTTTAGAATGTAAAACTCCATAAATGTAAAAGAAAACGCACCACAATCCTGCGAAAGGAGGGATGCCAGAGGCATCTTCTTTTTTCTCGGGACTATCAATAACTGAAGGTCCAGCGCGTAGGCAAGGGAAGAGAAGAAAAGACGATGACATATTTTGTAAAGACGTCTTGCCACGATCTTCCCGCTATCAAGAAGCGAAGGTGGCGTGGAGCTGTTTCGTGCGGAATATGATGCATTGTAGTGGGTGGGTTATCTTGAAAGCCTGGATCACTTGAACAGTAAGCATAAAAAGAAACGGGTTGGATCTCAAACTTCGAGTATCGAGTGTTATAGACAGAACAACTGGATAAACAGACGCACCCGACCGCCCAGAATACGCACACCGAGTGCTGCCCATGTGTTCTTTTATGATGCACGAGATGTCCTTGACATCACTTGGACACCCTCTAGCTTCTTGCTGGAAGGCACATTGCCAAGGGGTTTCTTGAGGATACACGAGTATGGTATGTCGTACAAGACGGCCCACGGCACACAAGAGACTCAAAGTATGTGACAAACGCCACTTTACTTTCAGGCTTTTGTAGCGATGGGTCGTATAAAGTTAGTATACTTAACCAGTATGACGAATCAAGAGGCTCGGACTAGGAACGGGAACGAGACTAAGGCCTCGTTCGGTAACTGTTGTATAAACGAAATTTACAAAATACAAAATTTCGAAAGTCCCGGCATGTAAGCGGAGCTTGAACATGATCGGCAAGATCATCACTATCCTGATCAACGCCCAGTAGTAACTGTAGTTCGACGACTCGATCCTAAGTTCAATGTTACTAGTAATCAACAATTTATTAGTGTCATGGATGGGCCTGTTCAGCCCCTTCATCAGCCCCTCCTCGGTCCTTTGTTTCCTCACCCCTTGATTCCTTATCAACGTCTCCTCACTGCTCAACGCATTCGGCCAACTCAGGGCCAGCATTTGGCGCAACTAACAGTTCGCGAGCGGATGTTTCGTTATATGGTACTTCTTATCAGCATTCTTGTTGCTGCCACCGCACAGGTGGTTCTACAGGCCACACAAATTCCCCAAACCCCTGAGCCGTATCACACATCTGCACTATCAGGCCATGAATGGGTCATAGAACTTATTGTTGGTCATCCTGAACGCATCCACTGCGAGCTCGGGATGCATGTTCACGTGTTTGAGGCTCTGATCAATGAGCTCCGTTCCCTTGGTCACACAGATTCACGATATGTCTCGCTTGAAGAGCAGCTCGCCATATTCCTCTACTCCTGTGTTACAGGATTAACAATTCGCCATGTCGGCGAACACTTCCAGCGCTCGAACGACACTATTTCTCGGTATGGTTAGTTTATATTAGGAAAGACTATTAGTTCTGATGCCTTTGTAGGTATTTTCGCAAGATGCTCGACATATTCGCATCTCATCCATTTTATAATAAATACATATGCTTTCCTGCTGACAATGACCCCGTCCCCGCCAAAATACGCAACAATCCGAAACGCTGGCCATATTTTAAGGATGCTATAGGAGCACTCGACGGTAGCCATATTCACGCATTCTGTCATATACCATATATCCGGTTACAGATCTGATGATCTGGATCTCAGATCCGATCCAGATCTGATGAACATATCCATCGTCCGGTCCACAGATCCGCTTTGATTCTTATTTCATTTCCTGTTCATATAACTCTAACTATCGTTCATCTCCTTTCGGTATTCCTGTACACCGGTATACCGGTTATCCTTTACTTCCGCTTTGCTTACTGATCCGCTATGCTTACTGATCCGCTATGCTTACTGATCCGCTACACTTACGAATCCGCTTTTACTTGTACTTCATTCCTGGTTCATGATTCGTGATCCATCCAGCTTACCAATACGCTCCACTTAGACTTTGCTTATACTTTCGTACATAGCCTCGCACCTTTGCTTATTGATCATTCCGTTAGCTATCCGTAGTATATAAACCTTTGTATATGCGCTGTAGTAGATCAGTTCGAATATCATCTTAGATTGCACTCATTCCGTCTGGACTCTGAGTCCCTCCGTTATCCATCCGGACTTGAGTACGCTACTCTTGTCTACTCCGAGACTTAGGATAGATTCCTATAGTCTACATATCCGCCTCTGTCTTCGGACAGTCCTCACCCGTTAGTTTCTAGTCTGGATCCGATCCGGATTGGCCGTTACTCTATACGCGATACTTTAGCTCTCTGAAATAAGGGGCAAGACTCGGGAAAGGGGCACAGCGCACGAGCTGAGGCCGAAGCCCTTCGGATCCGATACTACTTGAGTACGGTCTTAACACATTCCCTCCTTCAGCTGAGCGCCACGTCTATCGCAACCACAAAGGATTTCTCTCCCAGAATTGCCTTTTTGCATGCAACTTTGACCTTATGTTCATGTATGCATTGACTGGGTGGGAAGGCTCTGCAACGGACGCGCGGCTTTGGGATCAAGCGCTTGAAGGTGGCTTGAAAATCCCCCCTGGTAAATACCTTCTTGCGGATGCAGGATTTCTGTCCTGTGAAGAGCTTTTGATTCCTTATCATGGTGTTCGATACCACCTCGCTGAATGGGGTCGCGCCAGTGTGAGGTAGTTGTTTCACTCGTGTTTATTTATTTCAATCAAACCAATATTATATTTTCAGACCTGTCAATAAAGAAGAACTCTTCAATCTTCGTCACGCCTCAGCACGAAATGTCATTGAACGAATCTTCGGCGTCTTAAAACGACGCTTTCGCATTCTCCTCTTATCCCCGGAATACAGGATCAACACTCAAGCTCGGATTCCTGCGGCGCTATGTGCCCTACATAATTTTATACAGGTTCATGACCCATTCGAAGATCCATTACCATCAATGAGTGTCGTGAACAACAATCCAAGCCATCAAGGAGATCCTCTAGCAGCTGAGAATGGACCGCATGCACAAGCTGCTAATGCACGCCGTGATCGCATCGCGACACACATGTGGAGGATTATGAGGCTTACTTACGCGAGCATGACTTAGAGGACGATGAAGATCTAGGTTCTGATCTTGACGAGGAAGATGAAGCCAAAGATGACCTTTATGATGGGCGCGAGTTTGACGAGACTGCTGTAGAATAGAATTGTTTTGTAGCTACAATTGAAAGTTTTATGCAAGGATCAAACGAGCACATGAAGCTACTTGTATAACGCAAAGAAGGGCTAGGGCTACAACTAGTAAGCCTACAAACAAAAAACGAGTGGGAAAAGTAGGAGCTACATGGTAGGGTTCTCTTGTTTGGCACAGGCAATCATAGATTCTAAAAATGCTTCGCGCAGCTCAGGGTCATCAACATCTAAGAACGTATCACATGCTGCTGCATTCGTCATGAACACATGCATGAGAATCACCTTATCGTCCTTCGAGATCCCTGTAGCCGACTGCATTAACTTCAGTGTGCGCGACCTATGTTCAGCTACATGAGCCTCGTCAGTGCCAAAGTTCGTGTTCAATGAATCTGACAGGCGGTTGATAGTGCCTTGAAGATTCATCAACACAGCTGTGTTGGCAGTGTCTTGAATGTTCTTCTTGCTTGTGCTTGGGCGCGTCTTACCACTGGCTGTTGACAGCCTTGGTTTCTTCTCCGATTCCGGCTTTGTCACCTGCGACACTGAAGTGTAGGTGGTGGAGGGAGGAGCCGAATGACCTTGGGTCATCTCGGAGTGTGAATGCTTGCCAGTGCTGGAGCCTGATGACATAGGGACGGACGTGGGGGGGGCAACACTGATACTGCCACCTGCAAATATAGGACCAGGGGGGGGAGCACCCCAGCCGAGGTTCGGCTGGGCCATGCTGGGCTTCATGGGAGTGAGATCAGGAATGAAAGGAGGCCGCTGGGCCACGCTGGTGTCGATGGGAAAGAGGTTCGGAATAAAAGGAGGTGGCCCCATGCTTTCAACATCCATCATGCTCATGTCAGCATCATGAGGTGCGCTGCTTGTGCTTGCAACTGGTTGCTCCATGGCCGGTGCAGCTGATTGGGCAGGGTTGTATGCAGCCGTTCCTTGTGCAGTGCTCTTCTCGGGGAGGATTTGGTCCATCTTTGAATAGAAAGGCCAACCATTATTTTTGAATGGTTTCATGGGCGAGTTGGACTGTAAAGCATCAGTTTCAGTGAAGATCAAGGCGATATTGGCACATACCTTCTTACCAACATATTCCTTCCACACAGCTTCAGCGGCGGGCCCATCGATGTTGGCCCCATGCTCATCATCCCAATGACAGCCTGACTTAGAGTGATACGTCCGGATGGCTTGGAAAGTAGTCTTTAACTACATAGATGTAATCAGTACAATGATGGCAGCAATCAATATGAAATAACATACCGTCCCCCATTTACTCTTGCACTGCTCCCCAGTTTTGGGAGGCCCATGTGTCCGCTTGCTTGCAATCTCTATTGCAGCTTGATTGTATATCGTGTCTTTGAATGTTGCCCCTGCCAGTGATGACTTCTCTGTGATAAGATATGTGAGCATGGCATCAATCTCATCAAAACCCCACTGGGCCTTTGGCTGTTTAGGAGCCTTTCGCGTCATATTAGCTAGTTGTATCTGAGAGCAGATGATTATAGCAGCGATGGCAAGCCAAACGTGCTGGCGTTGGAGATCATCAGGACGAGACTTTGATGAAGTCATGGTCGGAAGCAAAGCAAATTGAATCTCAGCTTGCGGCTGGTATCATGCCGGGACTTTCGAAATTTTGTATTTTGTAAATTTCGTTTATACAACGGTTACCGAACGAGGCCTAAGTAGAGTAATAGTCAGGAAAATGTACGTAGAACTGTGAATAAGAGAGCGATCAAAAGACTGAGGGAGAATATTCGACGGGAAGAGGTATTGATATAACGCTGATTGAGACGGAGAATCAAAGGTGAACGTGCACTTATGAGAGGTATGAGAGCTGTGCATTTCAGTTCATTAGTCAGCATCGCTTCCATTGCAAGGGGCTGTATTGATTCAGCCATTGGCGGTCCGTTGGACCATCAAATGGGCAGCAAGGTGGACATGGTTCTACCCTTCGAATCGTCCGGCAGTTCGAGCGCCAATCTCCAGCTCCTCGACATGTCCGCCAACTTTTGGGTTCCCACAAGCGCGACTCGACGCAAGGGTCAAACTGGCATTGTTTCACCTGAACCAGTTGACCGCAAGGTCAAGGCGCTGCTCAATAAGCTTGCGATATAGATTCGACTTGATTTCAGATCATACCTTCCACTGGGCGAACAAGAGCATCAACGAAGAGGGCGGGCGGACCCTCATCCTAGTCGTCCGACTGGCGTTTGAGCATGCGACGGATAGGGCTGCTTGGAGAAAGATGTATGCGCAGCTTTTTTGGAAGATAGATGATGGAGCAGATCAGGCCGGAGGTTCAGGGATAATGGGATCAATAAGAAGGAAAGCCTATTGCCGGCAGTCAGCTCCTCTGGATGTATTTCCTCAGCCTGTGTCAAGAGGATATTGACCGCGTGTGGCTCTGAAGGGAGGCTGCCCCTGCTGCAAGGACCTCAGATGACAGGATGAAAAAATCTCTTAACGAGCACAAGGGCTCAGAGGAAGCTGCCGCGCATGCGTCCTACGCTGCACAGAAGGTGACGCGCCTTGGTCTCGGTCTCACAATGTTCCTTGGCGAGCTGTTCAGGCGGCAGGCAATCACGGAGTGTATTATACACGAGCGTGCAAATAAGCTGTCGTGCGACGTCAAGCACCTGGGGAAGAGGAGCTTGAGAGTTTATGCCAGCTATTGCAGATAGACTGAGGTAGTTCGCCAGTCGCTAGATACGAGCCGGGCAAGGTCCTAAATCATGTCAGCTCTCGTATACAGTTCATGTTTCAAGTGAGCAGAATTTCTTTGTCTTGATCGGTTGAACTCATCATCGTGAAATTAGGGCGTCATTGAGTTGCGTGACCGTAAATGGATCAGATGCAAATGCTGTTGCTACAGCTATGACGATCGTTACGGTTCGCGAGGCCATCCCACGTTCTTTACATTCTCCCGTGCAGTGCTAAACGTGCAAGACCAATCTCGATCGGGAGTCGGCACGCACTCATGCCTGGTATGCGCCTGACACAGCACCCTGCTGGCACCCAAGTTCCACAAGTCCCCGACTCTGCTCCCTTCGCGGTCACCTTGGGCAAAGGGCGCGTCGCAGAGCCGTTCATCTTCATTTGCATCTCCAAGAGCTAGTTCTCACTCAAAGCGTTAGGCCAGGGCGTGTCCGTAAGGGATGGCGTCTCAGTCCCTCGAAATAATGTGGGATCAGTAGTACAACCAGGTCTGGTTTTATCCTCACGCTGATGCCATGTCCAATTCTAATTGTTACTTGTAGGATCTGTTGTTGGATCAATAGATTGATGCCTCGGCCCCGTTATCTTTATTGGCAGCCGCCAGTCCTGCCGTAAAAAGCCGAAGTCGTGCAGTATTTCGGATCCGTACCCGCTATGTCTTCCGGCTTTGTAAATGGCAAAACCCTAGCTTCTGCATTAGCCACAGCTTCGTCGAAGCAACCTCCAAAACCCTCTTCATCAACTGTCCCCACCGCCCACACCCTACATCGATATCACAGAAAAGGGTGCCCGCATCATGACACACGAAGAAGGCTCCGCAAATCATTATCAATTGAGGTCGCTGCTTTGACGTCGAATAGCGAATACCTGAATGCAATTGTGGCAAACAATAGCGTGCGGCTGAGGTTACTTGAAAGACGTGAGACTTGAGAGGATAAGCAATATGTGTTCATGGTAGGGAAAGGGGGAGTTGAGGTGATGCTGACGGAATGCGAAGCGAAGGTGAAAGATGCACGAACGATTTTGACTATGGAATTACCATCGTGTATCATAATGAGATTAGAATCGTGAGTTGATAGAAACGGCCGCTGAGCTTCCTCATCTCTAACAACTCTACCATCATCCGTGTTTTCGATACGCCTTTCGTTTATTGGCATTCTCATATTACGCACGTTCTACTGCTCTGCTCGATACGTGTTTGTGCGGCATGTTTTGGCCGTTCTTTTCTACTTACTAGTACTTAGATATAGCGGCATACTTACTGCATAGACTTATTGCTTACATCAGCATGTCACAGGGCTTGTTCGATTTCCTAAGTAAGGAGCGTCAATCTCTTGACCATGACATTATATTGCCGGTTGGAGTGGACGTACATCGTATATAGGGTCGCTCTCGTTCTTAGCAAGTTCGCCCACCATCGCGCGATTTCGCCGGAATGTCCACGCAGGTCTCAACATCGTCTTCAAAACACAGCCCATGGCAAACCATCAGGGCGCATCTCAACTTTTTCCGCATACATGTTATATTTTTGTAAGTTCGCCGTATAACACCGCTGTCTGTTGGTATCACGGAATTTGATGACATGTATGTTTAGTACTTTGACGCCCCTGATATTCTCCGGAATCCTTTATGCTAGCAATGGCAAGTATCCAGTTGCATACATTGATGCACTATACAATTCAGTCAGCGCGATGACCGTCTGTGGTCTCGCGACTGTGAACTTGAGCCAGCTTACCGCTTGGCAGCAAGTGTTGTTATTCATCCAGATGTGTATTGGAAACCCAGTGCGTTCCTTGGCTTCAGTACACGTGATACTTCTCTAACCTTGGCTCAAGGTCATCGTGTCGTGGGTGATGGTGTACACCAGGAGGTTGTTATTTACAGCGTGCGCGTCAATGATATTCACTCCTAATCTTACAGGCACTACTTTGCTAAGACATTCGATCATATTATTGGGGTAGAGGCTGCCCAACAGGCCGCGATCAAGGTGGAACAGCAGCTTGCCACTGCGTCTCTGTCTGCAGGGAATCCTGTCGGCAGCAAAGGCGGGTGGTCCCGCCGCTTCTTCCGAAGGAAGACCGGCCTTAGTACGGTGCCGGAGGATTCTGCTAGCGGTGATGCTCGAACGGCACCGAGGGACAGCGCAAAGAAATTGAGGCCCGATATGATCAGGCGCATGGATGGACAGCCAAACCGGTCAACCCGAGCGGACGGATCACAGAATCGGTACGGTTCCTATGATGCATTTTTCGTTGAAATATGTAATCAGCTTAGATACGCAAGCAGGAGAACAAGGGCAAGGGCCCTCTCCTCATCAACTTGCGTTCGCCGATGAAATAACTCAGTCTCCGACGCAGCTTGAGTTTGAGAATGATGTCGAGATCAAGAACCTACATGTAGAAACTGTCAACGCGGGGCCTGCGGATCTGAAAAGAAACGCCTCGTAGGCATCTACAACACCACTTGTTCGTACCAGCGAGCCTGACATCTGTTTTGCATCAGTGAGCGCGCACGTCGTCTTTCCGATTCAGTAAATCTTGGGGAACCTTCAAATTGTGGGCCTGAAGCGGGTCAGGGTGCTGTAACGTCAGCTGCATCGACTGGAATGCCTCGGACAGCAACTATCGAGTTTGCACCCACTGTTTCTCCTTCATATCCCCCTCTCTTTCCTGTCGGTAGCCGGACCGGTCACTCGGATTCCCCTGAAATTTTATCAGATATTTCAGTTTCAGGGTTCTCTACTCCCCGCCGTCGTCGTCGCCGTTCTTCCGCAGTCCCCCCAACATTCGCATGTGCCATTAGCACAGCACCCAACCATTCAGACACATCGATCTAGCGATACTAGGCGCGCATCGAATTCGCATCATTTCGACCCACCGCAGGAGCAGATGCTACGGGGGTTCGGGGGGTTTCCTATGCCGCACGAGCTGCTGGGGATGCTGTTTGGTTGGCTGTTTCCTAATACCAACAATAGACTGAAGAGAACTGTAACGATTCCCGTTACTACTACACTGGCAGGCGGTGGGCTGGGACGGACTATGAGTGGCGCTGCGAGTATCCCTGGGAGGCCAACACACGGCGGAAGCATTAGCGCTAAGGAAGGTACGAAGCCTGTAACGTATATTTCGTTCGACGCCGTCGTTGGGCGGAATTCTGCGTTTCATTTTTCGACCAACGAGCAGCTTGAGGAGTTGGGTGGAGTTGAATATCGGGCGCTGAACGCGCTGCTTTGGTTAGTTGCATCTGTGAGTCATCTTGTTCTCAGTCGTCCTCATCGACTTAAAATGTCTTCGTAGTATCACATGGCCGTACAATTGGTTTTCCTTCGTGGTGATCGCTCCTTACATGTCATTGCCAAAGTGGGCAAGCAATTTCGAACCTCCTGCCCAATTTAGAATAATCACGGTTCCTTGGTGAGCAGCGTCCTTACGACGCTAAGTAACAAGACACCAACTAACAGAACCTGAATGTAGGTTTTCATTGTTCCAAGTCGTATCGGCGGCGTACACAAATACCGGAACTTTCTCTTGTCGACCAGAGCATGGTGCCCTTCCAGACAGCCTATCCAAGTGAGTATAATATATCATATATACTGGATGATACTGACATTTTCTCGATTAAGTGATCTTTTTTATGATCTTTTGTATTTTGGCTGGTAACACTGCATTTGTGAGTGTCAGTGAGCTCGTTCTAACAACATAATAATCATTCATTGTCGTTAGCCAATACTGTGAGTTCGCAATCCGGAATGCATAACAGTTCTTACTCAAAAACAACCTGAAGGCTCCGGTTTCTCATGTAAGTATGCTATCTCTGTGATAAACTTTTGTTCATCGTAGGAAGTTGGATCATCA